TTTACAGAGAACGACGAAAGCGTCAAAAAATTCTTGAACAGCTTCATTGAATTTGTGCGAGCATATACAGTCCTTAAAGGATAATGTATGCGCATTTTGCGAAAAGAAAAAGTTTTCATTTTATTATGGCTACGCTTGAATTTTCATATCAATCGGCAATCAATTTGGGCAACATACTTGCCTTAAACGTGGCCAACTTTTTTTTATGTAGATATGTATGTGTGTGTGTGTTGGTTGTAAAGACACTCGTAAAGGAACTCAAAATCAATTTGCACTCGAAAGGCCTCAAGGCGAGTGCAGAGTTGTACATAAAACCGAATACCAATGCGACTCACGTTAAACAATTTTTTAATTAAAAACTGTTAAGTGGCGCAGTGCGCGATGCGAAAGTTGAAATGGTGGCTCCCCATGTCTGACGCATCTTTTGATAATTTATGATGCCGGAGGCAAAATGGCGGCTGCCAGAAACATACACAAACACACACACACACACACGACCATTCACATGCCAGTTTAAGTCATCCCAGTAGAACATGGAACCATTTCATGTCATGGCGCAAGATTTTCGGCATTTTCGAAATACTTTATTCAGAAATCAGCTGTGGAAGTGACAACTGCACTTCCACACTCACTATTTAACAGAAGACATCATTTAAAGCAGTTTTTTTTTGTATTTTTTCCGATTTATATACAGTTTAAAGGTAATTAAAATTACAGATAAGCTTTGGGGGTCTAAGCTATAACGACGTGGTCTTAAGCTTGATTTAAAAATAATATGATCTATTATAATGAATTTGTTTTATATACAAAAGTTGATGGATGGATTAATGAAAATACTGTGGGATTGTAAGATTGTAATTGTAAAATAACTATATTTTAGGAATTACATTAGATTAGATTAGGAACTTTCCAAGTATTTTAGAGTTGTCTTTAGATGGACAAAAAAGAGAAGTGGATGAGTCAAGGGTTGGGAACTAATTCTACAGGTAGCTAAGTATTAAGGTGTGGGGCATTCAGATAAAATGTGCTCTACTGAGGTAAGAGAACTGTTGTTGCAGAATTGGCAAATGTGAGTACTTGTGGCAGGGTTAAGAAGGTGCTCCTGGGTTAGGTTAGCAGGTTAAAGTAGTTATTCATCTGTTTTTAATTGAAATTAAATTAAATTAAATTAAAATGTATTTATTTATACAGATATTCTAAAATTAAATACGCACGTACCAGATGTCAATTTAATTTCTTGTTAAGATGAATACCAGCTAGAATCAACTACTTTCGAAACTAAAATATACTAAGAATATTATTTTATACTTATTGAACTGAAAGTTCATAATGACCGCAGATTTATAACATTTTACTTACTAATTTTATAAAACTGCTCTCGCTTTGAATATTACTTTAAGATAATGTATTTTCGAGTGAAAAGGATATCTAAATGACCTTTAGTTTTGTGCCAACTATTTCACAGCTTGTTCTGTATTTCTTTTCAAAGCTTTAGTTAATATTGAAGGTCCATTCCATCTAAGAACTTTACTGAAATCAACAAAATAATTTCATTTTTATTGATATTAACTTACATAACCATGAACATATAAATTTAATATTCATTTTAAAAGAAATTAAATTTTCTAGTTCGATTGGACTGCCAAAAATACTACTCATCGTTTAAGCCTTCAAATGTCAGATATTCCACTTCTTTCACCTGTTGCATATCGAACTTTTTTTATCCTCACACATTCGGGAAGGTATTTCTGGCGCTGAATTAGTGAAAATCTGCATACGTGAAGGCATTGTTTCAATTAAAGCTCGACTGGGATTTCGAAAGGACTACTTCATGTTACTAATTGTTGTTGTTGTTGTTCGCTGTAGCTGCTTTTGTCGGGTATCAAGGTGCGCTTTTGCTGCCATCGTCATTGCCTTCGGCCTTCACATCTCCTTTTGCCGTCGCCTGTGTAATTATTTGCCAGCCTTTTACCAGATTTCAAACAGTTTGCAACATTTAGGCTAACTAGTTGTCTCTCTTTATGTGGCGTGTGACATGCACAGTCAATGCCCCACTTGGCTTTGTGCATGTACATACATACTTGTATGTATGTATGAATGTATGTATCTGTGTTTACATTGCTACATCGCTCTTGTTTGCTCGCTCATCAAATGTCAAAGGTTGCAGCCGGCGCTGATAGACAATGCGCCATGTCGTGCACATAACTTTGGCCAACATTGCGGCCTTGTTTCTGCCAGTATGTATGCGAAGCAAACATTCAGGATAAATACATAAGTAGTTCACGTTGCTTCTGTATACACCGCGGGTTATTGAGATAGCAACAGTACATTTATGTGCAGACCCTTTAAGTCAACAATTTAATGTGAATTGAAGGTTAACACTAACGTTCTATGTGATATTAGTGAGAAAGAGGCGTAGCTGTCACTCTAGAGCATATCTTATCAATTTTATCTCTACATTGCGAGCTTCCATTCTTTCATACGTTCGACTGTATGAACCCGAATAACTTAAAGACTATTAGAGTTAGGCGCACTAAACTTTGCAAGTACATGTTATGTATCCTTATGCACATATGTTATAAGCTAAGTTTTTTATATAAGCTGTTCGACAGAGCAATCAATACCATAATAATAAATATTCTGTATCACAAAGTAAATGCCAGTTTTATCCAACGTTCCATTACTGTTCGACAGTATAACTTTTAAACTAAAGCAGATGATATGAGAGTTTGATCATTAATTTATATTTATAGAAAAACAGCCTTCCAGGTATAAACTTAGCAATAAGTCTTTTCTTTGCTTAACATTCTTTAGTGAACTTACTTGCCTAAGCATAATTGTCTTTGTGTGGGCACATTTGCGTGGTTAATTCGCCAGCACTTAGGCGTAATTTCATTGGCATATCCGATTCCCGGGTGGCTGCCGCCATCACGACTGACAGCTTGAGCATGCCATCAATGACAAACAAGGCACAAAGGGCCACAAAATGAACAGCGTGTCGCATTCCATTCCCTCCACGGTCCTTGCATGCAATGTTGTGGCAATAAAGCGTTAAATTTATGGAGATACACGGCTAAGCATTTCACTTGCCTCCCTCCCACTACATATATACATATTTGAATATTCCTATTCAACGAATTTCTCGCTGCAATTGCTTTCACAGTTTGTTTTCCAAATAAATGAACGCGGAATGCGCTGAAATTTTAAATGCAATTCGCTTGTTACCAGTGACAAAGAAAAATTACAACAGATTGAATAAAAATGATTGTTGGCACTTCCACATTCCTTTTACAAACGACAGCCAGCAATTCATTTCATTTAAAGTGAACTTTAAAAAATGATTCGAATGGCTAGAACAGGACAGAGTCGATTTATCAACATTGTGTTTGAGTATTTAAGTGCACGCAGGCGAGAGAAATGTTGGCAACATGTTCTTCCTTCGATACGCCCAACCGGACATAAGAAGCGGATTTGTAAAGTGATATGAAAGGATGTTGTTTTTCTTTCGTTTCCTCTGCTTGTTTCTTGTTTTTGTGCCTGCAACTCAATTCATTTGCCTGTGCTTGGGCAGAAAAACAAGTGCAATAACAGAATAGTCGACACTAAGATGCAAGATGGATAAGTGTTTCTTTTCCATTTTGGCTCGCACTGTTATGTAGAATAGTTGGCAGATAAAATCTAATATACTATATAGCCAAGCTTGTCATTTGAAGAGCTTGGCTAACATTTTACGTCTTTTTTTTGGTAGTAGAGCGAAAATGCTTCCAGAGAAATAAAAAGGGCTTAAGTTTGCAAATAAATGTGTAAGTTATTCTTGTGTTAGTTTTATTGTAAAATAAATTAAATAGTTGACGTTGTCTCGTAACTCCTAATCGCCTTTTAAATACCTCACTAGCTTCATTTCGTTTAAAGTCCACAGTAAATAAATTTTTTTGTTACGAAAATGAATTCATCAGTCAAAATATTATATAAATATTAAACCAGCAGTTTTATTCATAAATTCTCCTTGTCTGTGTGAGTGTGAGTTCTTCGACCCAAATTAAATGCTTCCTTAATTTATTAGTATTTGGTATATTATCGTTTGAAAAGCACAACAATTCTCAGGTGAAGTTTGAGTTAGGGTTATGTATTATATTTGATGATCACTTGCACATTCTCATTTATCTGTATTTCAAAAATAGGAATATAGTTATTGCAACAGCAATGTGCTTTTTAAAATCGACATACTTAATGATAAACTTTTTTTACGAAAGAAATAATTGGATTTTAATAAAAAATTTAGTTTAATTCACGCCAGAAGCTTGTAATTTTATTTTCGTTTTGACTTATTTGTCGATTAAATTTTCAATTAAATTCCAAAGCAATACATTTTAGTAATTATTTTTTTAAATACACATTTTTTTGTTGCGGTAAAGCCATTCTACTTAATTTAACATTATTTGGAATGGTACTTCTATAGGTATTGCTATATATACTAGAATGTTTAAAATGTAAAAGTGAACAAACATTTCTTCGCTTCAACTCTTTTAAATTCACAGTAATATTATTTAAACGGTTAGCTTTTCAAATAATATTTTGCTGGAAACATACTATTTATTTATTTATACTGTTATTACCTCTTCATCTCCTGATATCTGCGCATAATTAGATCTAGTACTACATAGCTTCCCACGTGATGTATCTTTAATGCAAATATATATGCACATTATATAAGTATTTGTAAATCATTTGTTTTTCATGCATTTCAATTATTTCATTGAACGATTTTTTAGTCAATTTTCCTGCATTTCTATATACTTGTAGTTCCATGTTGCTCTGGCAGAGTGAATTCCACTTTTCACAATATTAACCACAAGAGTTCACTCCAATGTACTACAAATAAACAATAACCAAATATAGTTTTATTTTGTAAACTAAAATTGTAGCCCATATATCCATATTTTATTTACAGATTTGGCAATTTTCGTTTACTAGCACAGAACATTAAAACCACAAATAAATAAGTTACAAAATTCAGTTTTATTAAAACCGGATTGAGGCTGTACAAACGAAATTTAAAGCGAAAACCAAATGTGTATTGACAAATATTTATGCTAAACATTTCATTTGTCCACTCCAGTGAGTTGTTAATTAAATTCTCCGCTGACAATGGTAATTCGAGAAATATTTCAGTAATCAATCAATCCATCAGTACGCTCAAAAATCAATACATCAAGTGGTGCTGATTGAAGTTCACTTTGGTCCATTTGTGTCGCCACAATTTGTACATTAGGAGGCCCACCAGCACGACATTTGCCGACTTGATGAGCTGTTTGACAAGCGCTCGACGCTGCTCACTGTAAATGAGTAAATTGGCAAGTCAGTCAGTCAGACAGACAGACAGACAGACAGAGGCAGCTGGCAGATATTAAGCTGGATCAACTTACCCCATAAATTGTTGATGGGCAGCCAGCACAATGCCCGAGCGAGGCGGCAACTTCAGACTGTCATTCGTGGCCAAAAAGCTGGTGCTGCATTATTTAAACAGTCGACATTAAAAAGTTTTTAAACTCAGAATTTTAAGCCGTTAAAAGCATGCATGTGTTTAACATGATGATGCATGAGCCCGGCCATCCTGTGGCTAAATTATTAATGCACCACTACTTAAATGTACAAGTTGAAAATTTGAAATCGCAACTGGACTTCTTCACTCTGTTCTGCATCGCTCTGCTCTGAGAATTGAAGTCGTCGCCCGTAATAAATCGTTTGTGTCTGTATGAAAAATTATACGCAGTGCCCAAAAATGAAACACAAACATCTTTGGGCATGTTGGGCAAGTTGCCAGGAAGCGTGGTTGGCGGCGCCATGGCCACTATAGTATATCCGGATTGGACTCGTGCTCGATGTCGCATTTAATCTATTTGCGCGCCGAGCTATATAGAGGGCAGTCCCACACTCAGTAAAACGTTCGAGGCGCAGAAAACAAGTCATTAGTTTCGCATTTTTTCACTCTGCCCCCATATTTTTAGCACCATGTGATATTCATTTGGTCGCGTGACATTTTCCGCTGTTGGTTGCGTGTGTGAAATATGCCCGCGGGAAATTAAGCTGAAAAGCGTCAGTCAAATGCAATTATTGTAGGCGTGAAAAACATGGAAAGGGTGCTCTTGCTGTTATTACTAATATTATTGTTGTTCTTGCTGCTGCCAAGTGTTTTACAAATTTGATTATAATGTTGTAAATAATAAATGTAAAATAAAATAAAATAAACGACCAACTCTAGTCTTGTAAGAGCTTGCAAACAAGGCCTTCATGCGGTTCAAGGTTGATGGCGCCAATGGCTAGCGCCTGACTGTAAGAGGAGAAGAGGAAAGTGGGAAAGAAGAGTTGGGCAAGGATATAGATAAGGAATACAAGTCTATAACCTACCCGGGCTCATAGGATGAATCAGCACCAGCGACTTCCACCACCAGCTTCTGTGGACGATCAACGAACTCACTGAGGTCCACAAGTTGCGGCTCCGCACTCACATTTATTATGGTAATCAGTGTATTATACTCCTTAAGCGTGCTGTCAAAAAGAAAAGCATAAAGTAAAAATGATAAATTTAAACTCGGTCAACAATCTATTGCTTTTTCTTAATCAAGAATAAGTAGCACCCACTATAACTACAAGACTTTGAAAATTAATAGAACATCATCTACTGTTCAGCTATTTAAAGAAACTCATTTGAAACCCATTTTGAACACATTACTCTAATAGTTCAACGTATCCAATATCGCAGCATCATCAGGCTATTTATAGTTATGAGAGGTTATATCAAAAGTTGCTCTGCTACTCACCGCTTGAATGCAAACACGGCCCTTGATAAAGGCTCTATGGTGAAGCGACCGCGGCGCAAAACGACCGACTTGCGCAGTTCTACCAACGCCTTATAGACTTTATAATGACTCTTAGTAGCCTCTTGCTGCTTAGCCAGATTCAGCTCCAAGTAATTGGGATGCACAGGCAGCCAAGTGTGCTCAGCACTGGAGAAACCTGTGAAACATACAAGTATAAAGCGAAATATAGTACATATTCAAAATATTCAAAATATTTGTTCACCAAATTCAAATATTTTTAGCACCTTTGTTGAATTTAGTTTCTTCTCACCTGCATTGGTTTCGTTGTTCCATTGGAAGGGCGTACGTTCCGGATCTCTAGATACATCCTTATAATTTTCCTCGCCAGCATTGCGTGCCGGCGGATCCACAGTATCCTCCCAGCTAATTTCTCGATAGTCCAGCATGCCCAACTCCTCGCCCTGTCAATTAAAACACAAATGGAGAGGTTGACAGTAGACATAAAAGCCCAACTCACATTGTACGTAACGGCCACCCCAGGCAGAGTCAGGAGGAGCATGTTCATGGCATCGACGCTGGCTGGGCCGAAGCGTGAGGCGACGCGTGGATTGTCATGGTTGCCCATGACCCAGTTGGCTGCGTGCCCACGCGGCATGTAGATCAACCATTTCTCCACGTTATATACAAAGTCACGTGCATCCGAGGTGGCGCCAACGTCGGTAATGAAATGGAAGTTAAAGGGCAAATGTGAGCCATGCACACCACTCTCATCCTCGTAGTAGTCCATCAGTTTCTGGAGTGGGGCATAAGCTTCGGTCATCATTATGCGTGTGGGACCATTCGTATGAGTGGCACTGTACTCATCAAGCAGGCGGCGCCAATGCTGCACCATTTCGAGCACTTCGGGCAAATCTTTCGTGTAAATATGCTCCGTATAGCTATAGGACAATGGATCCTCTGTTTTGCCACTCACTGGCTCATTATCTAGATTCACGTTTTCGAATAGATGGTTTACAGCATCAATTCGGAAACCCGCCACGCCTTTATCCAGCCAATATGTGAGCACCTCATCCATGGCTTTGACAACTTCAGGATTTCTGAAATTCAAATCCGGCTGCTCTTTGGTAAACTGGTGTAAATAGTATTGTTTGCGTTCTGGGTGCCATGTCCATGCTGAGCCATAGAACACAGATTGCCAGTTATTGGGTGGATGTGGCCCATTATCCCCATCAAGTATGGCATCAGCCCAGACATAAAAGTCCCGGTACACTGGATCATTCTGGGCCGACTTCTTGAACCACTCGTGCTGATCCGATGTGTGATTGGGCACGAAGTCTAGAATAATTTTAATGCCCAGTCCATAAGCGGTGGCCACTAGCTCCTCGAAATCCGCCATGGTGCCATACTCAGGTTGTATGCTCCTATAATCCGATATGTCGTAACCAAAATCCACCATGGGGGAGGCGAATATCGGACTCAGCCAGGTGGCTTTAATGCCCGTCTCAGCGAGATAGGGCAGCTTTAAAGTAATTCCCTTCAAATCGCCAATGCCATCCCCATTGCTATCCATAAAGGAGCGCGGGTAGATTTGATAGAAGACCGTGTGCTGCCACCAATCAATAAAATCCTCCGCACGTGACATCACCAAGCTAGACATGACCGGCTGTGGTCGTAACAGCAATGGAAGACTGCAAAGTAGAACGAAGCGTAGTTTAAGTAACATTTTTACATCTACTCCGGGACCTATTTATATATTTATGTATGTTATAGCTAGGCGCCGCTGCTTCCCGTATTTTGTTTTGATTCGCTGATTTATAGACAAGTGCACGCTCCAGCGGGAATGACAACTGTAGGGCAACGTCGCTGTGTTCTCGATTTTTAAAGCCTCTCCAAAACAAAGCGGCTGATCTTTGTTTATTAACTCACAATTATTTTAATTTTATTCGAATGGTTTGTTTTCATTATCATTAAATTGATGCTCGCACGGCATTAACTTTTAATGAGCGCTTATTGTTGTTTATAATTTGAATGGCACCTGCGAGAGATTTAGATCAAATGCAAACAAATTAGACAAACAGGCAAACAAGCAGATGACAGAAACAACAGCAACAACAACAACAGCAGCAGCAAGAAAGCGTTCAAAAGGCGCTCAGCAAGAGCTTTCTAATATGCGCCAAAACGAAGAGAGCGATTCTTCTTATATTTTTGACAGGCCGCCCTCCCTCTCTCTCTCTCTCTCTCTCTATATATATATATATATATTGAACGAATGCTGCACTTTATTTGCATGAGGAGTGACAGACAGTGTTGTGTTGTGTTTTAGTTTCAGCGTGAAATGTAACATTCACAATCAGGTTTCCCAGATAGAAATTGAAATATATTTCGATTATTTATTTCGACAAAAATGAAATTAAAGAAATAAATTTAAAAAAAGTGTAACAGTAAATTCAATTGATACCGAATCTTATACTGCAGTCAAAAATTGAAAAAGGATCTAACGGGGAAACAGCTACAACGGCATCACTGATCGCTAACTCTTTGAACTTAACCTAGCAACTAGTAACATTAGTTCGCGTTAGGTTTCTTCATAACTTTTGTATAACAACGTTTATATACAACCACCAGCAACATAATGTTTTATTAAATATGAAGTCATGCATTAAAATGTATTTTTAAAACCTTATATACGCACCGTCAGTCGGAATAACAACGCCTTGCTCTCAGCTGCTTTGATCAACTGAAAGCTTTTTGGCTCTTTTGACTAATCAGCAGCTGCATGTCAGAAGAGCTTGCGCTCCACACGAGAGAGAAAGCCAATGGAAAAGAGAAAGAGAAAAGAATCCAAAATAAATCACAAACCGAGAAGCCAGGCGCCACATTTAAGTGTTTATGCAATTTGAAATGGCTTTTAATTAAATTCAACGTCCCCGACGATTTATCAAAGCAGTTGCCGGCAGTTATGAAAAATTAGCAGTGCGGCAAAGCGAGTGTGCTATCGTTGTTAATTCAGTTAAAACGATTTATTTAATGCAAATGTGGCAAGTGAAATGAAGATGAAGTGGTCGGCAGCCACAATTCGGCACATTTTAAATGTGATTACAGATTAAAAATATGTATGTTTATGTGGCAGGAAAGCCTGGCACTGTAAAATAAAAATTAACCGCAGGGCTTTTTTATGCTCAAACTTTTTATTCAATTCACATTATATGTTTATATATGTACGTGCGGGTGGGTATATAATATTCGTAAGAATTTATTTTTCCCTGAGGCTTAGACGGGTCACCAGACCTTCGTAGGGCGCCAGCACAATCTCCGATGGCTTGAGCCTTTGGCCCACCTTGTATTGCGAGTCCACACCCACAACGAGCAACACCAAATGTTTAGACGATTCAGCGAAATCGGAAACATCGATCTGCTGTTGGCTATTGCTCACATTGATGATGGTCAGAATCGATCTTTTTCCCTTGAGTTCGCTGGAATGTAGAAAAAATCAATGTAATAAGCTGCAGGATCATTGCACACCCACATCTTTTGATATCGTATAGGTATATTGCACTCCTAAGACACCTAATGGGTGTATTGCTCTTATGCTATCCAAGATATAGGCGGACAGACGGACAAACAAATGCATCTGGTCTGCTCAACTCATGTTTCAGGGTTTTCTAAATAAACGGACTAATGGACTATTCCAGCACGGAACTATCTTTGGAAGATCTTAGTGTAAGGACCTAGAAGCTTGTATTGAAAACGAATTCCTCTGTTTTAAAAGGATTGTAGGAAAGGTTTACATACTCCGCACCACTTAACGTATAAAAGCAAACACCTCACGATTATAGGCCTGAGCTATGAAAGCACCATTCTGCAACACCTCCAGCTGACGCAATTTAATCAATTGCTGATAGACCTTCAGGTGGCTGCGAGGAGCCTGCTTTTGAGCCTCCGCATTCAACTGCAAGTAGTTGGGATTGACGGGCACCCAAGTCTTGGAGGCTGTGGAGAAGCCAGCGTTGGTATCGTTGTTCCATTGCATGGGTGTGCGCTCGGGATCACGTGACATCCACTTGTAGTTAGCAATTCCAACATCGCAAGCAGGCTGATCCACTGTATCGGCAAAGCTAATGTCGCGATAGTCCACCATGCCGAGCTCCTCACCCTAGTTATATTGCAGTTGCTCGTATTTAAATATTCATAAAGATAATAGAACTAAACTCACATAATAGGTGATTGCGATGCCTGGCAGTGTCATCAACAACATGTTCATGGAATCCACCGTCTGGACACCATAGCGCGACGCCACTCGAGGATTGTCATGATTTCCCATTACCCAATTGGGGGCATGTCCATGTGGCATGTAGATCAGCCATCTCTCAATGATGTAGACAAAATCACGGGCATCGGAATTATTGTTAAGACTGCTAATGAAGTCAAAGTTGAAGGGGAACTGAACGCCCTGAGTGCCATTCTCATCCTCATAGTAGTTCATCACAGTGTTTACGTCAGCATAGCCCTCGGTCATCATAATGCGCTGAGGTCCATCATTATTTTTGGAATAGTCATCCAGCATTACACGCCAATGCTGTAGCAATTCGTTCACTTCGGGCAGATTCTTGGTATATATGTGATCCAAATAGTCGTACGAATTTGGATCATCGGTGGTTTCACTCAACGGTTCATCGAGTAGTTGTGTATTCTCGTAGACATAGTTGATCGCATCGATGCGGAATCCAGCCACACCCTTGTTCAACCAGTAGATCATCACCTCGTCCATGGCTTGCAGCACGGCCGGATTGCGATAGTTCAGATCGGGCTGTCCAGCGGTAAACTGGCGCAGGTAGTACTGTTGCCGACCCTCGTGCCACTCCCAGGCAGAGCCCGTGAATACAGAACGCCAGTTATTTGGAGGTACGCGTGTGCCATTCTCCAACACCTTGCCATCTTCCCAGACATAAAAGTCCTCATATCCCGACTCACGCGCTGCCGACTTGATGAACCATTCGTGCTCGTCCGAGCTATGATTCGGCACAAAGTCCAGAATGACCTTAATTCCCGCCGCGGTGGCATTCGCAATCAACTCGTCAAAGTCCTCAAATGTACCATATTCGGGCTGGATCTTGCTATAGTCAGATATATCATAGCCGAAGTCCTTCATCGGCGATTGGAAAATCGGACTCAGCCACACGGCTGTAATGCCAGTTTCCACAAAGTGTTGCAACTTCGAGGTCACACCCTTCAAATCGCCAATACCATCGCCATTGCTGTCCATAAAGGAGCGAGGATAAATCTGATAGAACACCTCATGCTGCCACCAATTGTACTTGGAGTCAAGCTCCTGCTGGCTGCGTTGCCGCGCCAAAAGAGATGCCTCGGACAAGGCTATGAACAAGTTAAAGCCTATGGCTAAGACCAAGCCACTCCTCTTCGATACCATCTTAACAACTTATCTCTATGACTTTCTAGTTGTTTTATGTGCTTTCTTCCTAGTTTTCACGACCTTTTATAGCTACCGGCATTTCTGCGCCAACGATCTGTTTATTTGTTTTTTGCAAACCCACTTAAATATTTGCGCATATGTTATATGACATTTAGCGCAATAAATTGACAATCGAACAATAGTTACTATTACATAGCTCCATCGGCATTTAATGGACCTGCTCACCATCAATGGTCAATGTAAATTATCACAAATGGAGTTAAACTGCCAATTGAGCAAATAATTTTAGCATTCACCTTGAAAGCGAGCAAGGTGATGTACGAGTAGGACTAGGGTATTAGATTAGTGGCCAACTGTTTGAAATGTTGTTGTTCTCCGTATTGTAAATGGTTGTTTTGAACAACATAAAGAGATAGTTTTATAAATATGTTCCAACGGTTAGAGACCGAGAATGCAAGGGAAGAGTATTCCTTATTATGTGAAATTTATTATTGCTTTAATAAAATATAAGCTGCCAACATAGGTAATTATACTTATATACTAAATATATATTAAGTCCTAACCAACTAAAAAACCTAGTAACAAGTCTAATCATTAAATAATAATATCTAATAACGCATCCCACATAGGCGAACAATGTATTTACTCGTCCCGCCAGCTTTGATCCGATTCCCTTCCAATTGTAGTCAGACAAGAGTGTTAAAATAAACAGGAAAGAACGGCCATGCTGGACTCCTGATTTCAATAATATTTTAAAACTAAAATATTTAGATGACAAGCAATTAAACACAAGTGAGAACAACACCTATTTGTTTACTGTTTAAGCTGCATAGTCCTCTATCAGACTTATGCCTGCGCTTCAGTTGAACAGAAATTATGTATATCTTCCTTTAAATTTGATCTTTAAATAATTTTTAAACCCTTCAAGTGCGTAATTATATCGCGTTCCGTGTAGCGATTTCAGTCGCATATTTTCCAATGTCGATCTTTGAACTTCAAAATAAAGAATAATAATAGGCTGCACCCCCAAATATGCTAATTTATGTTAATAGTAAGGTAATTCTGTGCCTTTTTTATTTTTATTTCTATTTTATGTCGACAAAAACAAACTGTCGGCATAGGTAATACTACACAACGTTATAATGAAGCCTTATAAGCCTAAAAAAGCCAAAATATCACTGATTAGATTTATACTCCAATTAGATCCATTAAACGCCTCCGAAACGTTGGGAGAATTTTTTTTTTTTGCCAATCGGCCAGTTATGCTCCGATTCACATCCAATTGTAGTGACCTGTGAGCAAAAATTAAAAAAAAAAAACGATTTGAATTTAAAACTTCAATTAATTAGAAGCTAATTAATTAAATAAAACTAAAAATTTAACAAAAAAGACTGTCTGACCCGGTGGGATCATATTATGTCAATTATTATTACAATATGAAGTCATATTATTGAGCCAAAATTATGAGGAACTTTAATTAATTACTTGTAAAAAAACTTAAATGATTCTTTTGGGTTAATATTTTTCAAAAGAAACTTAAATGATTCTTTTGTGTTAAGTATTGAGATTTTAGAATAAAAGCCATTCAGAGACTTAAAGCCCGTTTTTTTTTAAACAGAACAATTATCAATTGATCAATTGGTTATTGTTTTGGAAAACCTCTCTAAAGCAGCTCTTGAATTGGTTGTTGCTTAGAGAATATTTCGAACTGTTGAAGTGTACAGCAGTTAATGATAATTCTTATTTTCCAATTGTTTCCTAAAATTGCGCACTTTTGATATTATTTTCCATCAACCAACTCAATAAAATAAAGAAAATAAAAAGCAATAGAAAACGTTAGGGCAACATTCAAAAATACCTATATATGTATAGAGCTTCATTTCGACTATAATGCGATGTACATTTACATTTTAAAACAAGGCGGCTGGCCTGTCGGCTTTAAAAGGCAGCCCAATTATGGGATCTGTGGGATCTGCTGTGTCTCTATATGACCACAAAAAGGGACGACCTTCACCTGAGGGCTTTTATTACAGTGAATGCCCCACACGCAATCGCCAACACACGTAGCTTATTTTCCTATCTATGGCGTGCATAACCCATCAAAGCCTTTTTGACCACAAAACGCGCAACTTTCGCCACATGGTTGCAACATTTTGACGGCTTTGTGTCGATAAATGGACTGCAGCTAGTTACAAGGACACACCAACAACACCAACAACAACAACAGCATCGAGCAGTACACGAGAACATAAGAAGAAATCTAGGCTGGGGACGTGCCTGGCATCTGGCAGCTTAATTAAAACATTTTGCGAAATTTTGCAACTCTTCCCCTCTTGTTTGCCTTTCTGTCAGTTCAGCTCTCGATGTTACCAAAATTTCACTGAAACACGCACACACACACACACACACACACACACACATATACCAACACATACACACGAACAGGCGCGCAGAAAAAAAATTGAAAATTGCACGCAAATATGTGTCGAAATCTTCATGTAATGCCTGCGCGGAGGCATGAATTTCGCCAGTTTTCGTGGAAATTATTAGGTCGAAAAACGAGGTTGACTACGTACATGAAAAGGGTTTGACGTGGACCCATCAATATGGTTGTGGGCGTGCTTTAAACAGCGCGCGTGGGCGCTTGCTTGAATTTGTTTTGCTTATTGAAATACCTTTCGATTATTTGTTACGGGCCAAACAAAATGAAAAGTAAGCTTTAGACATTTTTACACGCAATTTCACTTTACGCTCAACGAAGGTGCGTCCAGGCCAGCTCTGTTTGGTTAAAGTCCTGACATTTGGTAAAAAGTTTAAAGCTTAGATGCCGCAAGCTCAACCTGCTAATCCCCATATCAAAAGTGTGTCCTATGCTGTCCTGTTGACCTGTTGTCCCGAATGTTTGTGTGCAGCTGACGGGCCCTGAATGTCAGACCAACTGCCAGGTAGCCGTCAGAGCAGCGGCAACATTACCTTTCATGTCTTTGCGCTGATTGAATTGCGAGTCCCGGCCCGGCCCTTATACCAACCGCCTCCTTTCGCATCGCATCGTCATCGTCGCTGTCGCCGTCGCTGACAACAACACAAAAAGAATTTCAGGCACTTTTCAATTTCGCAGCAGTTCAGCTTACTCAGAGCACCTACATTTTTCATTATGTAAATATTTAATGTGACTTATGTATATCAAAGGACGAGGCGATGGCAGCCATATTCCCAGCAGCTGGTGCCATATTCTGTGATTAGCGGACAGTACGCAAGATATTCTGAGTTTAACACACGCGCCTAAACGTATGCTAACCTTTTTAGTCCACACTTTACTCTCTGATGGCAACCCTTAAACGTTTACAAAATGTTCGGGAGGGGGGAGAGGGGTGGAAATGCGTTTTATTCCACCATATTTTCATCGCTTTTTCCCCTTTTTGTCAGCAGTGGGCGATTGTGGGAGGAGAAGAGTCACCCTTCGCTTGTAATGCCTGTTTTTATTTGCTTCTGCTTTCTCTTGTCAATATTTTTTACGCTTATCAAATACTTGTTATCAAAATCGATTACAACAACAACACATCAACTTGAATTCAATGAGGTCGCCGCCTCTCGCTTGTCTGTTGACGTCTATGTCAATGTCGATGTCGACGTCGATGATGAGCTAAAGATGGCAAATATAATAATGTTGATTAACATATGCAAATACTTAGTACAGTGAAAGCTAGATATAATTAGTGATACAACATTTTGTTGTATCAATATTTTTAAACGATGCATATATTACAATTTTTAAATTTCTCAAAATTGATTCTTTTGCGAGAAGTTGTAAATTACAATAAATATAATAACAAATAATATAAAATTTTTGTTGTACTTATAGTATAATAATAATAATTATGGAATCAATACTTTTTTTATACTAATAATGCCTCAATTGTTTGGGCAAATTATTTTGGTTCCAGCAAGGGCTCTTACTATGTACATACCTGAAAACTAAACATTTCAAAGATATATTAGTGGTATATAATAGTGCTACGTTGTATATTTTTACAATTAAATAATTTCTTGTTAAAATGAAAAAGATCAACCTACTTCGGCTTTCAGCATGAAGTGTTGGACGTTTATAATGTGATTGTTTCTAATTATTTTCCTAAAACTTTTGATCTTCTTGGCTGTTTCTTATTTGTTGAAGAGATGCTCTATTTCAACGAAATAACAAGGAAATAAACGTCTAGTTAAAAACAAAAACAATCGATCTACTTGTATATCCATTTACATACATATTTTAAATTTTAGTCTAGTATATAAATCTGAAATCTGAAAATCATTCTATTTACCAAGCTAGACACGTATGTCCGCACCAGAGATTTTGTTGAACAATTTATTTTCTTTTTTATAAAACATACTAACTGATATTATTTTAATAATTTTTTATTTATATTTTATATTTATTTTTAGGTAACATTTTTTCTTTTATACTAATTTCATCTTTTTAAAATTATTTCATTTTTCTACTTTAATTTATGGAAGACTTGTACCTCTTTCAACTTTTTCTAGGTTCTTATATTTTTCAGTCAGTTTTTGATTTGGTTCCAAAATTTCCATCGGTAGTAATAAATGAGTACTTATTTTATACGTTATTTTATTTTTTTTTTTAAATTTGTGGCGACATAGCAACATCTATAAAAAGTATTATGTACAAGTACATATAATTATTTAAGTAATTCAATTATTTCAAGCTCTAAGGAAAACTTTTGATGAAGAAAGTATGTACAAAATGCGTCCCAAAATAAACAGGCCTTTTTTAAAGAGGAAATAAATATTAAACTTTTTTTTGACTATTATCACCTTCCGACTCAATGCAATATTTAGCACGAACAGGAAACATTTCAAAGAATCCTGTTTAATATATACTTAGTAGTTTCCGAGTACTTACATTAATTGAGTGCGTCGATTATAGCCAGTGCTGACTGTGTACACAGAAACTGTTTGCTTTGCATTGATAGAATGATAAACTGAACTCTGGAGTGAACATTTTTATCATTATGTGACCCATATAGGTCGCCCGTTATCAAAATAGTCGAAGATCAAAGCTTCAAAATGTTAAATCCGTGGATTACTCGTATGTCATGCAGAGGCCTATTATATACATAAATTGGTGGCACACACCTCCACACGAAAGCCGTGCCTGCCAGTCTGTCTGACTGTCTCTCAAACTGTCAGTCTGTCTGTCTATCAGTTGATATAGTGAGTAATCGTGACATTGTACAGAGATAAAAGTCCATCATCATGGCACTTATGTAAATATTATCTTTTTAATATTGTTTGAGCGCAGCTGACAGCTTCCTGTCATAAAGCAAACAGCACAGTAGCCAACTGAAGGACTCATAAAAAGCTGCCGAGATAAAAATGAAACCATTTATAAATTTTTTACTTTTATTAATCTTGGTCTCGTTTATATGTTTCTGATTTTGGTTTTTGCTTGCTGCTCTTTAAATGTGTAAAATATTTCATTTGAATTATTCGAAATAAATCCAATAAACTGCTGTCAAGTTCATAAATCAAATTGTAATCGAAACTCGAAATCAAATTTACTGCAGCAGCTCAATTAATTATACATATACATACATAAATATGTATGTATTGTTGTGGTTGTTGTTGGTATTGTTGCTGTCGCGGCGCATTTGATTGATGGGCGTGTGTTGAATATTTAAACGAACTTAATTCGCCCCTAACTGGATGACGCCTTCGCTGCGTTTTAATTAGCATTTAAAGCTACCGCCCTCGCTCTGCAACCCGAATATTTTCGTACACTTCAATGATTTTGCCATTGAGTGTAATGCAAACACCAATTTATTCACATACCGCATTTATGTATGTATGTATATAGAAAAACATAACAGATTCTCACAGCAAATGGTAACTAACTACGAAGTAAATGAAATCTCAGCTTTAGCATAAAATTCGGCACCGGAACGAAGAATTCCACTTAGCACGGTCCAATCTTCTGCACATCTAGTTTCCGTCCCAACTTTCTATAATCCCGCTGCGTACACTCGAACTCGCAGCGATTCTTATAAGTCACGCCATTGCTGCCGCACACCTGCTCCTTTTTGGACAGATCGCAGGGACAAAAGCTGGCCTCAGTGCGTCCCACCAGCGCCACAGCTAGCACAAAGGCCAGTAGGGAGAACAAAGCAAAGCACTTCATAGTCTTTGGATTCACAGCCGCCGCCTGCTAATTACACTCCGAGGGAATTCTTTGCAAAGTACCTTTGAAGAGGTTCGTTGTAGTGAGCTCGCCAAGTGTTGAATTGCCACTGAGCGCCTGCCTCAAACTTTATGAGTCGCAGCTTAAAAGCTATGCCGCCTGTTGCTCTACTCTTACTCACAATATAGTATAAACAAAAATACATACTTATACTTTAAATGTATACAGTAATCACTATTTACATAGAGACATGATCTGTTTTCCAAAAAAACATTAGTTATCTTTCAAAACAGATTTATGGCTAATCTGATGCTTTGCACTCAGATTCCTTAGAATTTCTGTTAATTGTTCAGCTACGGCAAAAGTGAATCACTTTCGATTGGCCTGGGTAGTTGGGTAGATATGTTATACTTAAGCCAATATTTGTCACTTTGTCACTGGAAAGCAAATAATTGAATGCTTAAATCCATGCTGATGCCTGAACAAATTTGTATAAGTATTTGAGATTATTTTCCGATAAATCATCTGACGACTAGTGTCTATATTTTTGTGCCCCTTAATCTGAAGCAAAAGTAATTGAACTTGACACTTTTTTTAGTTTTATCAAATTATCTCTTCTCAATTACATTATTTAGCAAGTTTTTATTGGTCATTTATTTGAAAAAGTTTTCAATAAAATATGTATGTATTTATTTATTTTTATTATTTTATATTCATTGTGTCTTTCAAACTTACTTCCCTTAAATTGTATTCCAAAGTTTCAGAGTTCTTTTTATTTCAAGTTTATCTTTGAGAAAGCCTATACATATTTCGAAAAGTATTTAAACTAAGCCCACCTTACTTCCTACCCTAACGTTTTTCTTAGGAAAGCATAGTATATCTTAGTTCTTTGAGCATAAAATTTGTATAAGTATGACCTCTAGAACAGAACATTAAAAACAATTGTTTAAATTTAAAGTGTGATGTGCAGAAAATTTGTTGCCTTCTACTTGTATGTACCTCATCAAGCAAACGCTACTGTAGATATGTATGTATAGATATTGCACACTTATGTATTTATGTACATAAGTATAAGTGTGTATATATTTCTGCTATCTGTACGATGCGTCAACTTTGCTAATTAGTCAACAAGCCGATGTTTTCTGGTGTTTTTCGTTGCTTTGCTTCGCTTTGCTTTGAAAAGTAAAACAGCTGTCTTATTGTTTATTGTTTGCTTCGCTCATTGAAATTGATTAGCGACTCATTCGCATGATTTTTACGCGCTTCCAGTAACTTCCACGGTTGACAATTTATGGCCCACACCGATTGTAAGGGCCACAGAAGAAGAAGAATGCTTAGACGCAACAATTTGTTTAGGCCGATGCGCATTTTCACGACAACTTTTTCGAACTAAAAGTCATGATAAAGTTTTTAAGCAAATTTCCCCAGTGGCTGCTGCTGCTGCCTCTCCTGACCAATTGATTGAATTACAGTTACAATAACAAAGCACCAGGCGGTGAACAATTTATTTTCATAAATGTCAAGCGGCGCAAATTGCCACATAAAAAGCTGCAAAATATTGTGCCATAATATTAATTAAAGTGCCTCAAAAATAAATTGACAGGGGACTAGTGCTGTCTCTCTCACTCTCTCCTCTCTCCCACTCTACCTGTTTACTCATCAATTGTCTGTCTTTAACGCAATTTTCATAATGACCTCAAATAGGCAGCCAACTGACAAGCTCGCCCCACGCCCAACTTCCCCCGCCTATTACGACCAACACCCATCAGGGCTCAGTCGATCGGCAACAACAAAATATACGCAGCCGTGTGCAGCGCAGCGCAGCGCAGGTCACGCCTTGCATTTAAATTAGCTGCTGATAAGCGGTACCAGCAGGAACAGCGCCGAAGAGCGGGCTTGAAGAGTGAGAGAATGAGAGAGTGAGTGCGAGCGTCATGCATGGTAATAGTAGTGCATGGTAGTAGTTGGCAACGCCGTATGTTAGCTTTTATCGCGTATAGCTGTGAGCTTTTCCCCAGACAATAACACTTACAACACTAGACAACAAGAAAAATGTGCTACTGAAGATAACATCCCCATTAAACGATAATTCACGCAAAGTGCAATTAAAATATTTATCAGGAGTTTTAGTCTAATTGCAGGTGTGAATAATTTTGTGTTAGTTAAGGAACGAATACTAATTAGCTTAGAAACTAAAATGATTTTAGAAGCTCATTTTATACCTACAAAATACTTTTATTTAATGTTTCTGTTGTGCCAAATTTTCATCTATTTAATTCAAAGACAAAATAAATGAATACCCTCTTATTAAAAGCGCTCGTGATTAAAATGTATACAAATACAAAAAAAAAAACTTTAAATTTAACTAAATCTTGCTATGTATGCCAAAAATTACGCATAGAACAAGAAAACTATACTATCGAGTGATCAAAATTCTAAGGAATTTCTATTTGGTTTTAATATTATATTTTCTTTTAATCATAAGTGTGTCTAAATTGTGGCTGGATAGTGTAATTAACAAATCACCTCGCTGTTGTTTTCCGTAAAATAACAAAAGAATTCAGAAAACAAAGGCTAACTCGACAGCCAGGCTATAAAACTGCACAGTTTATTGCAAATATTTACATTTTGCAACTAGCTGTTATAAATGCCGACACATTGTTATTGTGCTAAGAAAAGTCCCCAGCTAGTACAGCATTCTCGACTGGGAAAAAATCCCAATTCGAAAAAGCACAAATATCAAGCGCACAGGTATTGCGACGCGGTAGGCGATAAGATAGGAGTCACTCGCTTTGATATCGCTCGCTTTCAGTTATTCGAATAAACTGTGCGGTAGTTACGGATTAGTCGAACCAAAACAACCAATTGGACTGCTTCGCACAATACTAAAAAGAGACTTCTCAGTTTTCAACAAGAAACAACAACAAATTCAAGAAAGGAACATGAAGTTGCTGTATTTACTTCTAACACTCTGCCTAGTGTTGGCCCTCATTTCGACGCCTCTGCGCGCCGATTCGGTCAAACCACACATTTGTCCGTGTCCACGCAACTATGACCCCGTTTGTGCCTCCAATATGGCCACATATCCCAATCGCTGTGAATACAATTGTGCGCGTCGTGAGTTCGAGCGAACTGGCCGTAACTTGGACTTGTTGCGATCGGGCAGCTGCTAAGAAATGGAACTGAAATGGAACATTGTGAAATAAAACTGCAAAATATGTTTATTTGAAAAATTATAAATAAAAATCAATATTTATGTGCATATCCTCTAGTCACAAGCACTATAGTACGGTGACTTTATTAATCATAGGTATGCTTATCAGCGAACCCATTCAACGCTGCACCTTCGACAAAGCACTCCATTTTTATCAATATCAGTATAAGCGTATCTTTTTTTGCCACCCAAAGCACTATAAATTATTTGATATTGTTGGATTAGATCGGCGTCGAGCCATTCCAATTCAGTCAGTCTCACACAATGGCGCACATTTGTTTAAATAAAACAGAGAAAAACTGCCAAACCACGTCATTACACTTAGAGAATTCTTATGACTAATACTTGTATAAACGTGTCTTTCGCTTTGCCAACTAGGAATATACTTTTATGTAGATGACTAATGTATTAATCTCGCCGATTATTACTATTTCGATCCTAAAACGAACCAAACAAAATCGATAAGCCATTACTTTCAACGAATTCTCATTTACAATTTGCCACTCTATATACCGGTACATACTTATATTTAGAGCTCGAAACTTCCGTTGTCAACATAAAGATTTCACAGATTTGCAATATAGATATATACCAAATAAATGAATGAGTTTAATACGATGAGACTTTCAGGATTTTTACACGCTTTAAGGAATAAAACTCTTGTTTTCTAATTCCAATTAAAGATATAATTGAAACTCTTTTCATTGATTTTTTAAATGGAATTATAGCAATTTTTTGTCACGGTGTAAGTAAGTAGTTCAAGTTTAAAGCTTTTGCACCACTTGTGTTTAACACAAGCCATTTTATTCAATAATACTCGAAAATACATTTTAAAAAGTAGATATGACCTTAGTTGATGTGCAACGTCCCTTATGGGCTAATGTCAGAATCCGACCTTGAACCGCTACGTTCTTGGCGGCACAATCCAGCTCACATGAATTTGGATAGGTAACACCATCGGAACCGCAAGCAAAATCCAAATTACGTGGGCAGGCGCAGAAAATCCTTTCATCAGAGTCGGCGCTGACCAAAACTACACAGGCCATCAGGCTCAGGACCAAAGCCAGAGAAAAGAAACGCATGACTACTTTTTAATATTTTTAATTTTTTTTAATTGATGAACACGTTCTCTAACAAGCTGAGACTGACTGGAGCTTTGCCAGTCGACAGACTTTGTTTTATAACTAGATAGGTGGTTAAAAAAAGCACCTATTTGTACAAGCAGGTAAACAAGCTTAGCAAATAATCGTGCTATAGCTCAACTAGGCAGGCCGGAACGTTTCACGCCCATAATTGGGACTATAATTACTGGAAGTGACACCAAAAATGCAAATATGAGTAGCTGTAAATATTCATTCTACTTGTAGTACATCAGGAAACTTAACCATGAAAAGAACCTTGAGTATACATTCAGATTTCAAATGTGAATATAACGTTTGATATTCTCCCATTTGAATTTATATTTTCTACCTTTTCGTTTCGATGTTTTATTTTTTATATTAAATAGTGAAATAGCTTTCCCGATTCCGATTGTTGAAAAAATGCAAACAAAAACAAGTCCACGATCTCTTTTCAACCTAAAATTTAGTAATTAACCGAAAGAAATACTAGTAGTACTACTATAAAAATCTGATTTATAAGATAAGTTCCATAAGTCGAAAACGAAACGCCATTTAAAATTTACAAATATTTTTCTTAACTGAAGGATGCATTATGCATTATGCATTATTATTTAAAAATTGGAAATATACATTTAATACAAAGTGTTTCGCAAAGTAAGCAGGACTTTTAAAAATATCATTTTCCGTTGCCGAAACGTATAGTATTGATGACTGTTTTAGTTGCGTACATCTTTTATCGACATCCCGTCAAAATTTCATAACAATCGGAGTGAAGGGCCGAGCTATCGCCGACAAAGTAACACTGCGATTGCACTGTCGGTACAAAATGACAAAGAAACAAGCTTATCAGAATTTTGCCAAAATCTTCTGTGAAAAGAATATGTATAAATGGAATTTATTATCTTGCAATTAACGATTAATCGCATTTTAGCCGATCAATAGAAAATGCCCGTCCGTTCGTTTGTCTAAACAACAACTTTTTTTTTTATTAGCATATCTCAAGCAAATTTAGCTTTTATCATATTATTAATCATGATTGGTACAACAAAGGCTATTTTAGTTAAAGGACTGTGTTCGAGAAAGAGGGACGGTCACATAACAGTTTCGTACTCTTTTTATTATTACTATTTTCAATAATGCAAGGGGATGCAAATGTTTAAAAAGTTGTTCAATACGTTTGGATTAACATATAAGTAGTATATGGGTGACTTTGATCTGCTATTGGTAGACCTGCAATCCTACTGCTCAAAAGTAAGATTTCATATTTATTGAATAAGGATGAAAATTACATATATATCCCTAAGTTCAACAAGGCTACAATGTAAATTGTGAATAAACATATCCGTTCTGAAAGTTTCTAAAATGATAATAGCATTGCTAACATCTCTCGTGGTGTCATTTTAATATGGTTATTTATTAATACATTTCACGCCAACGATAGAAAATACAATTATGTGTGACAAATACAAATTTGGAGCCCCTAGGTCTTATAGTCTCTGAGATATACATAGGCGCTTATACGAATGGAAAATCGGAATATCCACAATAGGTGGGGGGAAAATCAAAAAAATAAAACAAACTCGAACAGAATACACATAAGGCATCTCTGTGCAAAATTTGGTGTCTCTAGCTCTTATAGTCTCTGAAATCCAGGTGTTCATACGGACAGACCGATAGACTTAGATCGACTCGTCTTGTCATGCTGATCAAGAATATATGTACTTTGTGGGTTCTGCCACGCGCCCTTCTTCATGTTATATTTTTCAACTCGCGCAAACCTAATATACTCTTGTACATTCCTTGTACAGAGTATAAATACTTGTAGTAAATAAAGATATTCGTTCTAAGGCTTTCTGAAAAGGTAATGGCATTGTTAGCATTTCCCGGGTTTTTACAGCCGTTAAGCTGTAAAACCCAGATCTTTTCCCGCCTTTGCATCAACTGGAATTCAACGTACCATTTCATCCTTTTGGTACAAACTATAACAAAAGATCTAATGCTCATAAGTCACTTTTTATTTGTTTATACAATTTACAAGCAACAATTTTTATTTGCATTTGCCCCCGTGCTTCAATTTCAAGTCCTTTTTTTTAGCCATCTCACATTCCAGCAAACACTTATTGTCATAAGTTTTTCCGTCGCTTCCGCAAACAGGCATAAGTTCGAAAGTACATTTGCAATCCTTGGATAAGACAGAGCCAATCAACAAGCTCAAAGATAGGAAGAGTCCAAGAAAATGCATGACTATCAACAGCAAATAAATTAAACGATCTGAATATTGGTATTGCAATACCTTTGCTCTATATATATTAGAGGAGCATGTTTCACCTAACAATAGAAATTCCAATTATCTGTGACACATGCCCGTGCAAGTACGATTTGCTATGCCTTCAGGCTTTAATAGGAATTACATATATAAGAAAATATCGGAAATAACAACCAAATATTTTGTTACCATGCCAATTAAAAAGTTAAGTAGTATATGGTGGACCAAGATCTGCTAATGGTGGACCCGCAATCCTAAACGTTACACTTTCATTATAAAATAGGAAAAATTAAGAAAGTTTTATTTAACCCTAAGTTCAACAAGGATATACAATGAAAATAGTAAATAAACATATTCATTCTGAAGCTTTCTAAAAAGATAATGGGATTGTTGTGATTGTTCGTGCCTTTGGATAAACTGGAATTCAACGTACCATTTCATCCTTTTGGCACAGACTATAACAAAAGATCTAATGCTCAGAAGCCACATTTTATTTGTTTATACAATTTACAAGCAACAATTTTTATTTGCACATGCCCTCGTGCTTCAATTTCAAGTCCTTGTTTTTAGCCATCTCACATTCCAGCACACACTTATTGTCATAAGTTTCTCCGTCGGTTCCGCAAACAGGACTAAATATGTAAGTACATACGCAAACCTTGGATAAGACAGAGCTGATCAACAAGTTCAAAGATAGGAAGAGTCCAAGAAAATGCATGACTATCAACAGCAAATAAATCAAACGATCTGAATATTGGTATTGCAATACCTTTGCTCTATATATATTAGGGGAGCATGTTTCACCTAACAATAGAAATTGCAATTGTCTGTGACACATGCCCGCGCAAGTACAATTTGCTATGCCTTCAGGCTTTAATAGGAATTACATATATAAGAAAATATCGGAAATAACAACCAAATATTTTGTTACCATGCCAATTAAAAAGTTAAGTAGTATATGGTGGACCTAATGGTGTAGCCGCATTCCTAATGCTCAAAATTTTCATTTTTTTTATTAAATATGAAAAATTAAGAAAGTTTTATTTAACCCTAACATCTTCAATGAAAATAGTAAACAAGAGAGAACGCTACAGTCAGAAAGCCGGACAGTAAAATAGCCTGTACTCTCCAAAAACAAAGAAAATTAATGATAAAAAAAAATTAATTATTTAATTAATTTAAATAAAAATATTTAATACATACACATACATACAACAGTGAAAACATGTTTATGTACAGTTTTAACAGCATGGGCAGCGATTTTATTTATGGCTATAACTTTCTTCAGAACTCACCAATCATGATGAAACATAGCATACGGACACATAATCACTAACTACAACTGTAATGACCAAATTTGAAATTCCAAGAATTACGGGAGGTATGGAAAAGAATTGCGTCCGTCCGTCTGTATGAACGCAAGAATCTCAGAAAATATAAGAGCTAAAATAACCAAATTTGGTATCTAGATTCTCCTAAGTCCGAGAAAGGACGAATTTGTGTTTTTTTTTTCTGATGCACCCCCCACTCCCCCGCTATTCGTATTTTTGCCATAGCTCCCGTAATTTTGGAATTTTGTACTTAGATTTGGCAAATACCTTCAGTTAGTGATTATGAGACCGTATGCCAATTTTCATTACGATAGCTTTATTATGAAGAACGTTATAGCCATAAATATACTCT